GAGCTGGTGGTGGTAGAGGCGGTGGCGTTTTTTGACATTTTAGCTCTATTTGGTACACAAGCTGTTATGACTAATTAATACTTGAAGCTACTGACTTATCTGAGATGCTACTCAATGTAACATCTCAAAAAAGATCTTTTATTTTTATAAAAGCTCTTAAAAGTTGACATGTCAAACATAAAACTAGAAGCTTTTAAAAACTTTTTAAATATTACAAAAGCTAGAAGGCAGGGAAAACATCTAACAACTCTTTTTGAAAATCAGGTATACGAATTATATCACAGTCGGGTAAAAATATTTTTGAATCACGTCTGTCAAAATTGTGAATCTCTATGAAATTCAACCCGGAAGCATTGAATGGAAAGTTCATGTACGTGTGATACAATTATGACAAGTTACGGAGTATGAAAATACCAAATAAATAAGATTACAGTTAATTTTCTAACTTAATTACTTCAAATTATTGTAGAAGACCAAAGGAATTATTGTTTTTATTACAAATGTGAATAATTGTATTTTACCGCAAAATTAGATCACGATCCTAATTTAATTATAAATAACACTTTGTTATTCAAAGTGGTGAATTGTTAATTTGAGCTTAATTGAAACTTTCATTATTTGAAAAGAATATATGATTGACATTTTGTTTTTAATATACGAATGAACTATATTCATCTTAACAATAAAAATACATATTTACTTTGTATTCTTTAGAAACTTTCACATATGTTGGTATGTGCGCTTTATTTATTGTCGAAAAATTCCATGCGTCATTGGCCCCGTTATCTAAAAGTATTGGTCAAAAGGTTTTGATTCCACTTTTATCATTGGTCACGTCATATAGCAGAATTCATTTCAAATTTCAATACAGACAATTTTCAATCATCGTTTCATTTTTCATAACGATAAATAAAAGTCACAGACAATATCTACATCAAATGAGTATATATCTTTCAAAATCTTTTTTAGTCACGATCAATTCTACATAATCATGTTAGGGGTCAACCTCAAAAAGTGGTTTGAATTTTTTATATGTGATGCCGAACACCGGCCGTGCTATCAACACCACTAATAATATGGTCTATAAACAAGTTTTTGAAGTTTTATGATACTTTTTGTAATTAAGGTATACAAATTTGTGACTTCTTTGTTTTATAGTTTTGTGAGACCTACTAATAATTATACCATTATTAATTCCATTACCACGTAGTGTTTATTGTTACACATTATCGTTTATTTTAAATTTTACTTGCAATTTTTCATATGAACCAACTTTTTATTTTCTCACCGCTACTATGTAGTATTCCCTCCGTTCCTAAATAAACTTCCAACTTTCCTTTTTCGTTCGTTCCGATTAAAACTTCCACTTTCCATTTTTGGTAAAGAATTTGTGGTTCACAACATTTCTTACACATTTCTCTCTCCTCTGCACAACTCTCCACCACACAATATCCACTATCTTAAACTTTGTGTCAAAAGCATTTGGAAGTTAAAATGGGAACGGAGGTAGTATTGTATAATAATCAAAGCTACGACATATAAACTTGAATATCTTTTTTTTATTTGACAAAAATACACATTATGTATCATCATAATAAAATATACTTTGTATTTGAAATAAATTTTTATTTTATTGTAGATACACCCGTGTATCGCACGGGTACTATGTCTAGTTATATAATTATAGTTACGATACTTCCAACTTAGTAGCTATAATAATTTAATATTACATATGAATGTATGAATACTTATAATATTTATATATATGAATGTATGGAAATGTATTAGATATAAATATATGTAATTGTGAGTATGAAGATACAAAATGAAATAATAGAAATTGAGATTTGGGAGTAGAAGAGAATATGAGATTAGGTGTAGAAAAAATTGGAAAATGGGAGCATTTTAAGGTGTATTTCTATCTTAATGCAATAATAATAACATACACCGTTACATAGTAATGCTTGAGAAAAATGTTCTACAAAGTTGGAAGTATCGTAACTATACAATAAAATAAAAGGTTATTTAATTATAGTTGGAGTGAGATGGACACTAAACTTATACATATATTTATAAAAATTACGTACACCGATAAAAATGATATACTCCGTAACATTTTAAAACGATGACGGTCACATGGTAGCCAATCATTAACGAGGGGAAGAGGGCAAATTATTTTCATCCTCATAATCTCATATAGTCATATGGGTGAAAAAAATTGTTCTCTTGAATAATTTTGGATTTACTCCAACGAACAAAATCTTCGTAATCTCATATTCTCTTCTAGACATAGTATCTCATGACGGTCCACCCCTAATGCTTGAGAAAAATGTTCAAGAAAAAGTAAAAGTTGTTAGTGTTTGTTAGGGAAAATAAGTTCTCTTTGTGCAAAATGAAATACAATTTAAATCACTCCTCCACTTGCTTTCAGCTTTTAGCTTTTAAGTGCTTAATTTAAGTAAAAGATGTTATTTGAAAACACTCATTTCAGCCTTTTTAATTCAATTCAAAAGCTGAAAACATTTTATTTTTATTTTTTTCAAACACTTCCTTTCGCTTCCCACGGTCTCCCTACTTGCGAACTATGAAGCACTAGGCAGAAGCCGGAAGGAGTCAACTCAGTAGACCGACGAAGACACAATGTCGCGAAATTAGAGAAGCTAGATGTAGGAAATGGAAAGTTAGAATGGTAAATTCTAACACCCGCGGTGTCCAACACTCCAGCCTATAACTCGTTCGATTGACTGCCTCTCCAGTCTCTCAAAGTTCGATTGACTGCCTCTAACTGGGTCTAGGCGTCTAGCCAACCAGCCATTCACGTTTACTCTAATACTCTTTTAATCTATTATTTTTTTAATTTTGTAATTTTATTTAATTATTAATTGAATTTTTCAGTAGATAATAAAATAGTTTTTTCATTATATATTTATAATGATTAAAGATAAAATTAAAGATTAGAGAAAGATGTCTTTATTTATTGTTTGGACACGTAAGAAAGAATTAAAAATCTCAACTCATTTTGAAATTGGGAATACTTTTTAGATTCGTGTACAATAAATATTTTTATTTATTACTTTTATACTTTTATAGTAGTTTTTAATTCATACAAGGTGTGGATTCGGGTCGGGTGGGCCGGGTCCAGGTCGGGCCTAGGCCCAGGCAGGCCGGCGGTTCTGAATAGGTGGACTCGAGACCAGCCGGGGTAGCCACTGGGTCCGGGCCGGGCCTCAGGCTTGGTTAATTTTTTTTCTTTTGCTTACCTACCTATCCCTGACCCCCCTCCCCCCCCACCCCCCACCCCACCCCAAACCCCCCAAACCCCTCCTAAACATCAAGCCCAACCAGGGTGGAGCCCAAAAAACGAAAAAACGAAAAAAAAAAATCAATTTGACCCGAACCGGGCACGGGCCCGGCCTCCTTTTTACCATCCCGAGTCCACCCCGCTCAGTCTAAATAACCGGGCCTTAGACCGGTTTTGGGCCCGAATAGCCAGGCCGGGCCAGTTCCCGGGCCAAGTGGCCCGAACCGAGTCCAGGACTAATTCATACCAATAAATACTAGAATCTCAAATAATCATTAATAAATTTATAAAATTACACTAAAAATGTTTAAATTTTAAGATATAAACAAAGTACAATTTATTACCATAGTTTATAAGTTAACCATAGGCTCAAGTCCGGATGGAACCGAACATCACTATGCTCAAACTCGGCTTGAATAATTAGGTTTTTTTACTTAGACTGTAATTTGTCCCAGACCAGACCAGACTAAAACAAATCAGACCAGTCCAGACCATATTTTATTATTGTTGTTGTTATTGTTATTGTTATTATTATTACTATTATTGTTGTTGTTATTATTGTTATTATCATCATCATTATTATTATTAGTAGTACTATTATTGTTATTACTATTATTACTATTATTACTATTATTACTACTACTATTATTATTATTATTGTTATTGTTATTATTATTAGTAGTATTATTACTATTATTACTATTATTACTATTATTATTAGTAGTAGTAGTAGTAGTGTTATTGATGTTATTATTAATACACTTACTATTTTATTATAATTACTATTTTTTAATTATAAATGAATAAAATATAATTATTTATGGATTATAGTATATATAAAAAAATAAAATCAATGAAAAAATAAAAATAAAAATTCAGACCAGACCTGACCAGCCCAAAAAGACCAAACCAGACCAGACTAAAATAGTCCAGACCAGACCAGCAAATTACAGTCCAAGTAAAAACATCCTTATCCGAACTAAAAACCTAGCCCATGTTGAGTTCAAAGCTCATTGAACTCAGACTGTTAAATTAAATTTGAAATCACTTGAACTCAAGTAGTTCGAAAAAGCTCAGTTTGATAGCAACCCTAAGTTAAATCTTTTGTGTGCACTAACAATTTTTTTTACTACTTAGCCCACCCCACTCCTCATTCCTGAATCCTTCCCTGGTAGATAGTACTACTTCCATCCCCCTATTATTGTCCAATTGCGGTTTGCGATGTTCGACAAAGGATAAATCAAACAGATCTTTGTCTGAAATCAAATTATTTTTAGAAAAAAATTACATATTCAGAAACTACATTAAAAGCTTTACAAAGTCACAAAAACCAGAATCAAATTTGATACATAAAGTAAGAAATTAAAGGTGATTTGTGTTGATAAAGTGAATACGAATTAAGACAATAATAGGGGGACAAGAGTATTAAACTACTAATGAACTACTAAGGAAACGAGTAGTCAAAATTAAGGACCTAAAGTGATGACATAAAGATGTTTTTACTTGGACTGTTTTCAATCCCGCACCAGACCGCATTAGACCAAATCAGACCAGACTCGATCACTTGGATAGTTATAAAATGCACAGAGACCAAAACCAAACATTTACCAGACCATATCAGACAAGAAAATTTCTGTCCAAAGTAAAAACATCCTAATTGTTGACGAACTAAGTATGGTACTCCGAGTCTCCGACCCACAGAAGCTTCATTTTCTATGATTATTGGGATAAAACTTGAATGTACAAAACGTGATGAGTTTTGGTTGAACAAAAACTAATATGTAAATTGGCCACAAATAAAATCTTCTACGGAAAATGAAACACATTTTGTTGCTAGTAACAGCGAAAAATGGTGGTTCCTTATTTTGCAGATTGAGTAAAAAAACACAAACTCCAAATTCCCTGAAGAACTACTCTTGTTTATCTGGTGTAAATTTAAGAAATATTATGCACATAGGTTCTCCAAAATATTCATGAGGAGCTAAAAGCTGGAAAACAGACAAACTGAGAAAATACCGAAAATTTAGTCACCATAATAAGTGCCACCATCACCATCATCTAGATCAGCCTCAGCATCATCAGATCCCCCAAGGACGGAAAGGTATACCAAAACGGCAACCAGCTGAGTAACCAGAAAATACTTTGACCTCCGTCGAAACTTCTTCTCTTCTTCAGTCCTTTTTTTCTTTTGAGGTTTGGTTTTAGGTTTTGAGCCTGAGCAGGGGAGACAAAGTTTCAATGACACCATTGTGCCTGACTATAGACATAAAGTATGCATAAAGCTTTTATCCCAAATAAGTACGCACAGACAGATCAACACTTCAATGCTAGTCAGCCATTTGTTCATTGAGCATGTTCACATGGTGCTAATAAACAGTTAGGTGTAATTTAATTCTCTATTGCATCAATATCCATAAACACCCGCACCACTACCAGGTATTAAAAGGGAGAAATTAGGAGTTGTTGAATGAAATATTCCTTTCAGGAGTGGTATATTATGTAGAAAATAAAAACTATTACAAATATGTATAAAAGTTTTGATGACACCATTGTGTCTGACTATAGACATAAAGTATACACAAAGCTTTTATCCCAAATAAGTATGTGAAGACTGATCAACACTTCATTGCTAGTCAGTCATCTGTTCATTGAACATGTTCACATGTTACTAATAAACAGTTATGTGTAGTTTAATTTCCAATGTATCAATATGTTCTCACTTTAAAAAAGTTCCAAACCATACACCACCATCACCACCACCAGGTTTTAGAAAGGAGAAATCAGGAGTCGTTAAGAATGAATCAGACATTCCTTTCAGAAGTGGTATAATATGTAGAAAATAGAAACTAGTGCAAAATATGTAGAAACATGGATATATTGAGAGAGAAGCAATTTACTCCAATTTGAATTACGTCTTGACGTTGATGAAGAGGGCTCATTATGCAATTGAGAGACAGAGGGCAACTCAATTGTGTCTATGAACTGCAATTTAAAATTCTTTGTATAATTTACCAGATTGGCATACTCCAAGAGTTTGCTTCTTAGCACTGAAGTATCCTGCACCATAGAAAAGCAGCCATGTGATAAAACAGAAGGGGGGTGATCATTATCACTCTTAAGAATATCAGAACTAAAAATCCAGAAACAGAGTCAATAAAGTGATAACCATTAAATTATCTATAGATCTACTGTGGATAGGATAGGGAAATTTAAAGTATATGGGATCTTGAACTATTGAACGTATTAGTCGTTACTGCATCACAAAATAATAAGTGAAATAGTTTATATGTTGAAGTCCACATTTAGTTGGACATGATCCACCATTCCCTGTTCTTGTATAGTTGTATAATATGATTTCAGGCAATGACTATCCCATCACTATTAGTGTATTAGCCTAATAGTTTCCTAAGATTATAATATTTCAGTACTCTGCACCCAGTGAAGCCAAAGACACTACTTTTTGGCTTGGGAATTTGATGGAATAAAGCAAAATGGCTCACTAAACTGTCTATGCTTCTTTATTATGAAGCAAGAGTCAGTCCATGCAATAGTCTCTTGCTGCGTACATCCCACCCCCACCCCCCCACCCCCACTCTGTAACCAAGTGAAGCATCTTGAATAAACTGAGCAGAACAACAGATATAGCAAAAGAAACACAAATAATTGGCATACCAAAAGTGATGTAATGTTTGATACTTACGGGTAAGGCAAATAGTGTAATAAGTGCATGTCCAAGAAAAACAGCATCTAAGCTTGTTGGCCTGGATTAACAGCAGAGTTATTTGTGAAAAACAGTGGGTAAAAATTATTTCCTAATAATACAGCTGAATTGAAGGAACCTGTTAGTAGAATTAAATTATTTAAAGACACGCCAAACCCTGCACCCTGTACAAAAAATGAATAAGGAGAGAATTGTTTAGTGAGTAACAGAAACCTGTTTTCAAAGAAAAAGGACTGGTCTCCTAACATTGTTGACAAAGCACCATAAGCAATGTAAGCTTTCCTATAAATCTGTCACAAGTTAAATATATCATTTAATGTGTGTGAGAAAATGAGTCATAAATAGAGCTATACCTGTGCGTGTGTCTCCCTATTGAGGGAGAACCATCAGACCACTAAATCAATAACTACAAATAATGACATAAACCCTTTCACCCAGTTTGTCCCAATGTATGCTTTGTAGCATGCAATACTGACCAAGAGTAATTAAAAGAAAGAATGACATAAATATCACACATACACCGTTGCATATACAATTTTGGAAGACATAAATATGACTAGTTTTCTTTTTTTCCCAAGGGTTGTGTGACTAACTATTGAAATAATTCATTTTTTTACTCCCTTTAAGCCCTACCCAACTGCTCACCTCTGCTGCCGACCACCACTGGAGACTGCTGCCTGCCCTGTCGGAATGATATATTTTCTTGATTTTTTGAAAAACTTGCCAGAAAAAAATCACTGGGAAAATTTTGCTGGTGGTCATTGTGACCATGTCTCACGGTGGCAATTTCACTCGTGGCGGAGGCCGGAGACAGTGTCAACGACAGTAACTAATAGTGATGTGATAAATTGAAAGTGACATAACCAAAACTGCAAGTGATATTCATAGTTTTCCAACTTTATTAACTTGTTAGTCACATTTCTGTCAATATGTAAAAGTAATCACTGTTTTGGAATTGGGCTTCAATATCATAATAAAAAAGGGGCAACCCAGTGCACAAAGGCAACCCTGCAAGGTGAGGGTCCGGGGAAGGGTCTAACCCACAAGGGTGTATAAGGGGTGAGCCTTCCTCTGTCAAATTTTTAACAAGAGACCATTCCCAAGACTTGAACTTGTGACCTCTCGTCATACAGCAACACCTTAACCAATGCGCCAATGCATATCGTAATCATCATTTTCATTTACCCCAGTGCCGCAAAGGCTCCCACCTACGGTGGGGTAAGGGGGGGGCGGATGTACGCAATCTTACCCCTATACTAAAGCATAGAGAGACTGTTTCCGGATGACCCATAGTGAAAATCGCGTCCAAGATTGCATGGACTGACTGCTGCTCCATAACAAAGAAGCGCAGACAGTTTAGTGAGCCATTTTGCTTTATTCCATCATAATCTCAAACCAAAAAATCATGAATCTTTGGCTCCATTGCAAATGCCAAAAAAGCCAATGCATATCGTAATATTTTAGGAAATTCCTTCGAAAAAACTGGGGCTTACTTCTTCTTCTCTTTTATCAACATTCTCCGTTGTTATCCCAAGTCGTTGTTTTGTATCATAAACTTGCTTCAAGTATAGAAGTTTTCCTACTGGCCAAGGAAGATCAGAATAATAAATCTGCACAGAACTTGCATCAGACCCTAGCCAGAGTTCATACAACAGAGCATCAGCGATCCATGAATCCGCCATAGCCATTGTTGATGCCCATTCTGGAATGTGGCGAATTGCAGAGTCTAAATCGTCGACCATACCATCATCCTTTAAACTCTGGACCACACCACCCTTTTCATTGTTGTATGCCACATAAGTTCCAGACTCAACGTAAGGTATTTGATCTGGCAATGTTGTAGAATAGTGTCTCAGCACAATGTGGAATTAATGGAGAGGACAAAAAATGAGGCGCGGGGAGTACTTTGGGAGAAAGCATTTACCTTTCAACTTTAAAAAATATTTTGATTATGTGGTCCCAATTTCAAGAACAACTTCAGAAAATTTGCATCTTAGTTTCTTTAACTTAACATGCACGTTAAAAGAAATGTCTCCTATATTTCGGAAGAGATGGAGAAAACTACTAAAAACACAATGTGTATGTTGACATAAAATAGAGGTCAAGTACAGAAGTTCCCCATTTTCTAGTAACACCAGAACTACTGATGCTACTTTTAGTCCCACATTAAGTGAAAAAAATGAAGACATAACCTTCGAAGTCATCTTTATATGGGGTTCCTAAAATCACTCCAACATTCCACAGACACATTAAAAAATCAACTGTTATGGCCAAAATACTACCAAAATGGTCAAGCCCAATTGATTAATTTTCACCTAAACCATGATATCCAAAATTCATTTGTGATTGAAAATGTTGGCTGTCCCATACCATAAAAGCAAAACAATTTTCATATTGTGAAGCAAAAATTGACGACCAACTCCTTCTGCATATTGCTTAAAACACATATTGACATAAATCATAAATGCCATTCAAGCAACTATCGAGCTGCTGACAAATAGACTTACGTGTCTTCCCCTTGAAACCAAATTTCAGTTATTCACCTCATTGATCTCGTTTATAAAATGTTCTTTTCTTTCTGATGAGATATAAAAATTAGGACTACACATCAACTGCAAGACTATAAAAAGCTAGAAGTCAAAAGCATTATCATGCATTTATTTAAATGTTCACTTGATACGCTGCTTCAAGTTCCATAAGTGATTCTTAATTAAACAATTAGACATGCAGAAGGTTGTAAATGTAGTAATGTAGAGAGCGCTAACCAGTGAATAGCTCATAATAAAGCTAGGTATTTTTGTATTTCTTCAATCAAATCATTACTAAACAACTTTTTCCCTGGTTTTGTTTATGAGCATGTTCATTTAGCATTACAATTAAATTTCTTTCATTTGAAACTTTCTCTATTTTATTTATTATTTCATTTAAAATTTTGATTATTGTTCAATGATTATTCGTGAAATAAATTAAGTTTAATCTTCGTACTCCGTATAAAGTAATTTTTATTCATTTATTTATACTTGTATTAAGTAAAAAATATATGAACTTTTATTTATGACAAAATACTATGGTCGAGAATTGTATGTAAATGAGTTTAATAAATAACAAAATGAAAACTAACATCCCATAAAACAAAAAGTAACAGCTAAACATTGATATGAAAAAATGAACTTTGGGGCTTTCTTTGGGTTTTAAGACCTTAATATGAACGATTCTTGCAACAGTGAACAAGATGTTCAGAAACAAACCACCATATATAAATTCAAAACAGCAGACCTCCATCTACTAAGTACCTAATTTCTACTTTGAAGCTTGAACCTGAGAGTAACCTATCCTCATTTACAAATGTTATACAAAACTGCATACATGTTTTAGACCAGACTCAGACTTAAAAGCTGGTGCCAAGTGGTAGTGAGGTCACAACTCACAATTTAATGCTGTATGCAACTATACATTACATTTTATGAAAATATGAGGTAATGAAGGCCTTACAGGCCTTGCCTTCCCTGAAGGTGCCGGAGTGCCCATTTTTACACGGTACAAATGTAAAATGGAGAATACTAGGACGAAAAGTAAAATTCCCTGCTATTATTATATAAAATCAAATTATTCTCTTTGTTTTACTCCAGAAAAACTCAGAATACACTTCATCGGAAGTGCAATAAAAGCCATTTGCACAGCAATTTTATGTACAGGAGAAAGACAACAGTCCTTTAGAATTTACCATTCTAACTTTCCATTTCCTACATCAGTTTCTCTAATTAAAAATATTAATTTCTATTCTGATCCCCTGTGAAAATTGGCTATGCTGAAAGGGACAAATCAGTTCAAGTACCAACTACAAGACCTTCCACTATACAAAATAACTCTAATTTCTAAGTTTTGGGGAATTGAAACCTAAATGACCAAAATATCAATAACGAAAATAGAGAATGGAGGAAAGCAGTACCAGAATCAGGATGAACAAGGTTGAAGGCCAAATCGAAGGGGCGTTTGCATAACCTGAGGTAAACATAAACGGGCAAGCAGTTTGGACACGCAGTGGGTAGTCCGAAACATGCTCTTCTGGCCACCAGAGTCAATCTGTCGTTCTCTTCCCCCATTGATTTCTGGACGTGTAAATCCAGGGGTGGCAACCTTATTAAACCCCTCAATTTTCCAGAAGGTAGGGTTTTGCCTGATCAGTTACACATACTAAAAAAGTGTAAAATATGCTGTAAATTAAGTATTCTTTAGGAAAAATTGACTGGAATAATTCGAAGGGCGGTTCTCTTCTAATAATCCCAATAATGAGTTATATATGTTTAATCCCAATTTAGGGGGTAATCTTCCGTAATTGAACTATGACCGATTAGCCTAAATGATAGTCGGTTAATATATCACGTGATAAGGCACGTGTATTTATTTGGGTTATTAAATTGCATCCTCCTTCGTCTTCTTAACGCATTTGAACGCAGGTTCATCTCCATCTTTCTTCTTCATCTATCTACCTCTTGTCTGGAGCGAAAAATGGCTACAAAATCTGGGAAATCGAATTTTGCTTTGTCTTCATGGGAAAGGAGCGATGATACGAAGAGTCACAATTTCGTTCAGTGTTACCACAACATATATTCGAAACCTAGGACCGTGAAATCTGGGGCAAACATTGGTCGAAGGTTCTACGGGTGTGCGTTATGGCCGGTAAGTTCAAATATTTATCACTTATATATGGATTTTTTTGGTTGATTTAATGAATCAGATTATTTCATTTATTTAATTTTTGTAGAAAGTTGACTGCTTATTCTTCCAATGGGTTGAGGACTACCGTTTTATGCAAGGGGATGAATGGAAAGTAAGTGAGAAGGAAAGTGTAATTGACTGGCTCATTGAAGAGAAAAAATAGTTAGAAGAGAAGATTGCAAAGTTGAAAAAGAAGAAGCTACAGATGGCAGCTAAAATCGAAGAGCTGCAAACTTCAGTTCGCAAGCATGGAAACGGAGAGAAATGTGCATATATATGTCTGATTATGTCTTGGGTCTTGTTTGTTGTTGTGGTGTATTGGAATTCAAAGTGATTACTGGTAAAGTCTTGGAGTCTTGCTCAATGTTTTGGTAAAGTCTGGTGGAGTAGTGTTGTATGTTTTGGCAGAGTAAAGTGTGTTGTCTGCTATGTAATGTACTCTTTTATTTTGTTCTTAATGAGAACTTTTGTTGGTTAGTATACTCTGAATGTGTGAAGGTTATGCTTTGTGTCCTTTGTGTGCTACTGCTTCTTATTTAGAACAGTTAACAAAACCATTTAATACATACTGCTTTACAACCAAATCACTAACCCATAACAAATGGTTAGGCCAGAATACAATAACACACTGAATCAACACAATAACCATAAATGACTAACACAATAACACACTCAATCAACACAATAATCATAGACCCATTACACCATCTGAGCACAAATGTTAACATCATCATTACAAGTCAGCTCCCTTACAACCACACAGTGCACCGGAATTGCAAAATTACAAACATACTTAACACTAACATCAATGTTCATAAGTTGCAAGAATACTACTAACATACTACCACCCCTACTCTTCATTCCAACAATCTTCACATCACCCTTCATATTTCTGACAAATTCCTTGCCCCTCCATTTTGTCCAGGACTCTGTACACACATATTAAACACATTTTTAAAGTTAGAAAGCAATTATATAAAATTATTGAAATATACTCATACACACATATTTATGCACATCTTACATTACTCCAAGTGTGTCCATGCTCATCAACCACTACACCATAGCCCACATGAATGTTTTCTCTGCCTCTCCCACGCCTACATGCTCCTCTCCCACCTCTAGTCACCCCTTTAACCCCATCAACGGCCTCTTTTTCTAGTTGCTTTGCTATGTCAATGATCTTAGAATTCCACCATGTCACTCTTCTTCTTGACTCCATAAACTCCTCATCATTTGTGTCATTGTAAGATCCAAATAGTGGGACCTGGAACTCCTCTTCACCTTCATTTCCCACCTCTTCTTCTTGCTCAATGTCTTCTGATTCAACATTTTCCTCTTCATCAGAGGTCCTAGTTTCTTTGTCAATGTCTGTCTCAGGCTATAGTGTACTCCCTCCTTCAGTTTTTTCTGCTCCAGGCCTTACTTCACATGATGGTGTATGACTCCCCATAGACCTCCCAAAACCCCAGGCTCTCCTATATTTTCCCCAATCCCTTCAAGCATTAACACAAATTCAGGTGTACTTACTCCATGTCTAATGTAGCAATCTATTACACCACATTGCAGAACTAATTTGTACATATCTCTAACCTCAGAATCAAACTTAACACTTCTCAAACCTGTCTCCAAACTCTTTCCAGGAATCAAGTAATATATTTCATCTATACTACTATATTTCCCACATTTTGTAGCTAACTCCTCCAACCAAAACCAACAAAGCTCATCAACATCCAAATCAAAGCATCTACATTGCCCCCTGAATACTCTAACTTTCCCTTACTGTCTTTCTTAAATGTACCTCCGTGCCACATCTTTAGTGCAATGAACACCAATTGACAATACATTGAAGTATATATCACTGAAAGAGGTTTAATATATTACTAAACCTACAACAACCAGTACATTTAACACCAATTGAACCTTAGATAACCAAAACCCTAAATTCGCAATCCACACAAATTTCTATCCGTACAATGAATGAATATTTACCTCAATTGAATTCAATCCAATGAAGTTTCAAGCTTCACTAGTGCCCTGAACCTTCAATTGCTTTCCTTCATATGGCAGACTCAAATCCAATGAAGAGAAAAGATTGTGAGGGAAGATTGTCTTCAGTGAACGTTGTGAGGGAATATTTCCTCGGTGTGGCTGCAGTGAACGTTTGAGCGAGGGAAGAGTGTGAGGATAAGGTCATTAAACTTGTTTTTTTTAATTTCAGGGTTGCAACCGGTAGCCGGTAACCGTAGTTCAATTAGGGAAGATTACCCCCTAAGTTGAGATTAAACAGATATAACTCGTTATTGGGATTATTAGAAGCGGACCGCCCATAGTTCGGATTATTCCAGTCAATTTTTCCTATTCTTTATCAAAAGGGAAAGTAAACGTTTTTTCAGAGGTGGAGGGAGTATTAACTACTCGTAATATCTATGCGGTTGAATTGTCTAACCTGCCAAAGTATAAAAAATGGTATTTGTAATATATTTTATTAATAGATTGAAGGAAAAATTATTGTACAAAAAGAAACAATTATATAAAAAATAGTTAAAATGATTATTTTTAGTCAATTTCATCATAATACAACGTCACTTATTTTGAATATTTCACAATTCAACAGATGAAATAAAAAAATACGTGTTTGGTGAAAAATGGTCGATGAGACTGAAAAGCTGAATATACTCTCTCTGTTCCTATTAAAACTTCCAACTTTCCTTTTTCGTTTGTTCCAATTAAAAAATTCACTTTCCCTTTTTAGTAAATAATTTGTGTTTCACAACATTTCTTACACATTTCTCTCCTCTGCACAATTCTCCACCACAAAATAGCCACTATCTTAAATTATGTGTCAAACCTATTTGGAAGATAAAATAGGAACGGAGGGAGTATGAGTTACGAAATGAGTTTTTAGTCTAATTTTAATAATCCCTCCGTCCCACTAAGATTTTTCCATTTTACCTTTTCGGCCCGTCACACTAAGATTGTCTCATGCCAAATTTGGTAAAGTTTATATGATATAAATCATTCTTACTTTATCAATTCAACAACAACCACATAAATCACTTTTTATTAGTTTGTGTGTCACTCCCTCCTGTCCCATTATTAGTGGGATGGAGGGAGTAAAATTTTATCAATTCAGAACCAGAAAGGTATGTTCACTGTAAATAAGGGACCTCAAAAATAAAATGTGTAGATATAAAATCTGAATAATTGAAAACTATTCATCCAAAACCTAAAATACCACCACTTTTAATATTTTTTCCTTTTAAAATTAAATACGGAGTATTATTTAATCTTATTAAACTAATAAGCTTTTTCACACAAAACAATATATGAAAAATTAGGAATGGAATCAATGAACATATTTTTTAGGCCTTGGATTGATAACTTTTCTAATAATAGTAACGAACACTTAATCTCATAAAAATATTCAAATTGGATCAAAGAAAATCAGATGAGAATAGAAAGATTCATATCATCATATCAGAACAAGCAAGGAAGATTAATATTAGACCAGATCAGAAAGATATAGATAAGATAAGGATCGATCTTATCTATTTTAGGGCTTAGGGGAGAATCTATATAATGTCTTAATTTAAAAAAAAAATGTATCCATTATAAATATTATAAATAGATTATAAGACACAAATAAGCCAATGTATCCATTTCAAAGTTGTGAAACCTTGGCTCACCTTGTGATTGCCTAAAACTCTAAAACAACACCAACATTAGCATAAAATAGTTTTTCAAAAGGAATTACTTCTTGAGATCTTATATACACTTCAAAATAAGCTAGCAAGACCGCTGGATTTTTAGACTCCATCGAGTAAAGTTCCCTCTAAAAACCACTCATGTACTTTGTCTTATTTCTGTGTAATGTAATTTTCTTAGTCTAAATGAAATTAGATTTTCTTTAAAGTTTCATTATTCCAGATTTTATATTTTGAGTTTTATTAACAACATTCTGTGTATTTTCAATATCTTAAGTAACAGATTCAATTTCCTTATTAGTTATTCCAGGATTTATATCAAGTTTCTTTATTGAAGAGTAATTTTTTGTTTATATCTTCACATTACTCCGTAGCAGGACAATAGCAGTTCGTATATGCTGGTACCGGCCCACCATGAGTATCCTGCACCTGCCCCCAAAACGACACTGTTGACTTTATTTAATCTAAAAATGCGCAAACCAGTAAACGGCTCTCCTCTTAGCGGCGCGTTTTTTCTTTCTCGAGCAGTTATTCGCTTCACTTCCCCCCATATTCTTCAATCGTGTCTTTTCAAATTCAGAAAAAACATTTGCCAGAAACTTTCTCCACCATTTCTCTCTTCGAAGTTTCATCGGAAAAAATCTCAACCAAACTTCATTGCTGAAGTACATCCACTTGTGAGAGGAAAAGAAAGCATTCCGTCCGACGGAAAAGTAAGGAAAAGAACAAGGTTCTGCAGATCGACACAATGACTAGGGCTAGACGCAAATCACTTCAGAGGTATAGAATGTGATTTATGTCTTATAGAGATGTCAATTTGAACATGCACAGTGTGTATGTTAAGATCTAACTTCAATTGTTGTTACAAATTTTGAGTTTCAACGTACTTTTTATTAAGAGATGTAACTGCAATTATTGTTAAAAATCGTTAAAATGTATGTAAGTACTGGTATGAATCAAGTAAACTGTGTATGTTAAGATATAACTGGTTTGTTTCAACAAGATGCTCAATTTGTTTTCAAAATGCTCTGTAAGAATGATGTAATTACTGATGTAACTACTGCTATAAATTATGCAAATTG